AAAACATGCTTCGAGAGAGGGAGAGACATAGTGGCACAGATCATGAAATCAATGTTATAACAGAAAAGGAATAAAATCTTGACGAGGATTCCGTCGCAGCAATACGCCTCCCCCCCTCAAAATCGTGGTCTTGATACGAATCCTTTACCTTTGAGTTGGTGTGAATAATGAGTTCTATTATATGTACATATACATGTATATGCATGCAGTTGCAGCGTGGTTTATCCCAGGGTCAGATTGTATGTAGCCAGCCCCAAACCGTGGAAATCTACACCCCTTTGGAAGCTACCGTTCCTCCAATTCATGACCTTTTCGACAGGTTGTGGTACTGTTCGACAGAGTTAGGATTTCTTGTTACCAAGCATCATTGAAATTGCTCTGAAAGCCTTCCACTGAGAAGATAGGGTCTCTCAAATTTCGTCGAGTAAACGTCGAGGACGCTGAAATTTTCATGCGAGTTTTTGCCACTTCAAAAGCAATATCTCTCTAATTTGTAAGGGCTTGAAAAAGGGAAGACAGTTTTGGAAAGCGGAAGGTTTGCGCTTCCAAGAAGTCTGTTTAGATTTTCTCCAAACTTCCTAGTCGAGGAGATACATACTCGCGTCAAGCACCTATCGAGCATGATTTTCAGCCATTCAAAAAGTCGCTTCCTTCTTCACCAAGTCGTTAAGACTCTCGAAATTGGTCTAGAATGCACTTTTCCAACGTAAGCGATAAGAAAAGGGGCAATCGTCATCGTCCGATTTCGTCTCAGTATAGGCCATGCATCCGACCTCCACTCAAAGTTGCAGAATCGATTGAAAGGTGTCATATGATGATGACCTGTTGACAGAAGCTGTATTGTGAAGAACACATTTCACAACTCCTATTACCTCGAACGCCTTCATTTGCACGGGATTTATTCACGCCCTCATTTTTTGTAGCACTTTCCGACAGTATCCCTAACAATAGTGCCATTCTCAACAAGGCATTTGAGGCGAGCTGCGGGCGGTAGATAGAGGAGGTGTCTTTGCAGAGCGTGTGAACTTGCGGCCCCACAACTGAGCCTTCAAAAATATGTACTGCCATGTTTTTCACATATCCTCGTTTTCTGATACGTTACACCCTCCCACCATATCTGCACCATGATTTGCTTATTTGTCCCGCGGTTACGACTCCCTTTTCCCCCCCCCTAATCGAGTGTAACATTTGCCAGGCTTAAGAGAGGCTTGAAGTGATTCATCATGATCTAAACTGGCGAAATTATGTGGAGCTCTACTTGAAATTTGTCGCGCAACTACATCTGTATCTTACTCTGTTTCTGCTTCCACATCAATCATCCACCCTTGTGACTGCCAATCATTAGATTACCTTTCTTAGAATTGTCCAAGACCGGCTCTCCATTAATCTTGGCATTGTTATAGTAAATTTAGCTTCACTGTTCTAGCCTCCGGGATTGGTACAGGGTTTATCGGTTAAGTTTCGGCTAAATCGCCTTCTTCGAAGCCTGTAGAAAAAGTCTAACATAAGTATGACACATTCACCCCAATATCGTACAAGAAGTAAACTCCAAGGGTTAGAAAACCAAAAGTGGTGTCGGAAAACCTGACCCTCGTCGTCTCGGTCAGTTCAAATGGAGCTTCACTTCAGTGACTGACCGGTTTTGGAGGAAGGGTGACCTACCTGAGTTTACAGTAGCCTACAAGCAATCCTCTTAGATCTGATCGAAGCTCATAAAAAGGTTAACTAAGTGCTATATTCTCGTTTCCCGGCGTCACTGAAAACAAAGATAGTCTGAAGTTATCGTGAGTCCATGGTGACATAAGGCTACTATCCAAGGTGAGACTGGACACTGAAACTTGCAATATTTTGCAAAGCACCCTTCTTCCAAGTACTTCGCTCATCTTTTCTCTTTTTTTTTACCTTACTGCACTTATCTCAAGTATCTTCGATGCTTTTTATTTCTGTTGCTATTATCCAGCAATTTAAAGTCTTCGCTATGACCACTTGAGACGCCTTTGAGTATCTGCCTGGAAAAACTCAAGGTTAACACTAACATCTGTGACGTTGTCCGATCGCAAAACAGTTGGAAGTGTTTTGCAGTAGAGTTTGCAAATAGGCATGATATATGCTAAGCCATTACGGTACGCAGTTATTGCAAGCAATATATAAAATGGAATGCAGGATAGTTTCACTGGAAATGCGCTAGCGTTCCCATTCTTCCATTAAAGGAAGCGATTACGATAAGGAATTTTCGCATCGGGGGAGAACCTGCGCCACACGGAGCAATTACTTGGCTGCCAAGGAAGCGATGTGTGGCCTCCCACGGCGAAAGGTGCTGTGGTTGCTGAGCAGGACCCGCGTGACGCCCCGCCCCCAGTGACGTGACGCCCACTAGTTTTGTTGATGATCTGGATGGACTGTTTGCTGTTGGCTTTTCATTTTGGATGATCATTTCCCTTCTAGCGGCTGTATCTTCCAACTTGCCCACGTATTGCCTTATCAATCAAAACACTATGCTTGTTGGCATGATGGCGGCTATCGGGGTTAACACGTCCGAACAACGTCATTCTTTACCGTCGCTCATCCATGGTCGAAAATGAAAGGGCAATCAAAGGGGTACTATTTTGCTTATTTTTGACGGATTTCTTTGCTTTTTTCGCCATTGGCGTACTATTGAGACCCTCACGTCCCCTCTAAACCCCTTTGAAATCTATCGTAATCGCTTCCTTTGAGCCCGGAAATCTACACCGAGACGCCATACTGACCATGACTGCCCTTACATACCGATTCTGCCTTAATTAGGCCTGGGTTTTATCGTCCTGATGATAGTCATTTTTCCTATGACCTGTCTTCTAGAGTCTTTGCTTCAAGGTTAACTTTTCGTATAGGTACTGCTAGTTCACTTTTCTTGATAGTAACACCAAGTTGAGGAAGTGGTTCCACGGGCGCGTCAGCAAAGACAGAGAATACATAACTAAATAATCAAATAAATGAAGCCACGGTTTTTGGAAAGATATATCAGGTGCTTGAGGCATTAGACGCCAAAATCCTTCTATAAAGGGGAGGGGCACAAGTGGCTTCGCATTTTGGCGTGTCAGTGTTTTTCGAGCATTTAGAACTAATGGAAGTTTTTCAGGAGGAGTAGTACTTCACAAGCTGAGACCAATACTGTTCAAATATCGGAGCTATTCAGCTCGCGTCTTTTTGCTTCAACTGGTTGCCGTCTTGGTTGGTATTTCGTTTCGAAAATTTGATCACAAAACTATAATTTGCTAAGACTTCTAGCGCTTTCCTTTATTATCGGTATACGTTTCAAAATATTTTTATTTTCAGATGCTGGTACCATTTCGCAGTTAGTTGGACTAAACACCGCTATGAACAGCAAGAACAACACCAACGTCACCACCACAACTTCTGCATCTGCAACTACCAATGCAGCTAATAATAACAATAACCATAGTAATAACAACAACAATACGCTGTCCATGTTCTCAATATCATCGCTTGCTTCCACTGCGCAAGAATGTGCTGACGAGTTCGTCGATGTGGACGGTACAACCGATGTAAAACAGGAACAGCCCACACCGACAACTGAACAGATTCTACGGCTGATGATTACGGGTGAGTTCAGTTCATGAACTCGTTCGCAACGCAGAAGGCGAAATCTATATCATCTGAATCCAGAAAAAGTTTTGAAGCATATCAAATTCGGTTTCGAATCGAGTCTATTTATCGCTCTGCGCGCGTACCGCCGACAGCAGATTGTTCCGGCAGATTCTTTACATGAGTGGTTCATCCATCATCACTCCTTTGAAACTGCCCATCTTGCTGTTGCGAACATTCCCGCGGACTGTTTTGCGAACTTTGCGCAATACCGCACGCAAAACCGAGGTGGCGCCGCAATTGGTCGGATCAGCGCTACGCTATTCGTCATGAGTTATCAGCAAACTCAGAAAACTGAGGAGTATCATATTGTTTAGAGCACGGTCTACTTCTCTTCTCTGCAAGAAAGCTTCCGCACGATGCGCTCCGCGTGGTTCGTGCTTACTCCCAAAGTCCCCCTATAGTTTATCTAGCTCCCGCTTCTCTCTCAATCAAACCTGCGAAGAAAGGGCAATTAGCTGCTCCTTCTCAATATGGCCCTATGCAAGTGAAAGAAACACGTTTCCCTTGACCTTCGCTCGGCTGATATTTGACCTTGTAGTGATTCCCGTGTCATTAGCCTGCTCAGCCCCCTAAATTTCCCCTTACCCGTCGCTTACAATTTTATGTGGCTGAGCCGCAGGTAAAGTGTTAACCAACAGCACTCACTGCTGTATATCCACGAGTGATTGTCATGTACTCCATACTGTACTGTGCTGCGCACTCGGATATGTCATTTCAAAGGGTTTGCCGTCACCTATCCAAGTGATTTAGGATAGCCGTAAATGTTGAGAGGACAGCTGTCATTCTATTGGATCACGAGCGCTTCCGGCATCCTTCTGACCAGATTTTCGCCCATCTTTAGCAAGGATATTGTAGAATACATACTTCAAAAAAAAACATTAATTGAGTATAATAAAACAGGATGCTCTGCTCACGTTGAAATCACAGTACCATTTGCATAAACACTTCCTTACACAGGTTTTGCCTAGTCAGCCGAAATAAGAATGGCATTGTTATATTCCCTGGCGGCTGTGGAATAATTCAACTGACTTGATCTGGGATCCAGCTCCAAACAGTGCGTGTGGTAGCGAATAGGCTGCACCACCTCTGCCCCGAGCATAATTTATTTGATTCAAGGCAGGACGTATGATAAATTGGAAGTTGGAGAAGGGGAACTGTGCCCTCTAGACCGAGGCTTAGCCCCCAAGGGAACGAGAAGTGAGCCATTTAGGCGAAGAACACAACTAAACGCGATTTAGCCCGAAGTTACCCTACCCGTGGTGACGGGCGCCTTGATGGCAGCTCATATCTCGGGGGTGCTCGGCCTAGGAAGGATTGATGTTGAGGGGTCCCGGCTCCAGCGACTGACTAGAGACGTTAACATAGGTGACGTATCCTATCGTGGAATCTCATGCAGAGCGAAATCAACAGACGGGAGAGGGTCTTATTTAGTGGTTTTCTTTGCTTTTTTCCTTACCACTGCATCACTTTATCATTGTAACAGCCTCCAATATGCCCCGTCAGCCATTACAATATACTGAACAGAATAATAAACCAGATTCACTGGAACCGTCTACGAAAAAGTGATCTTTTAAATTGATTCCATTGCACATTTCAGGATACCCTTTACTTACTAATAAACGACTAGTGTTGTTACAGAGCCGATCTCCTTCTGGAACGAGATGAATAAGTTTGGATTGTTAGACCAACTTGTCGATCAGCTACTGGAATGCCTCTCCAATGTGAAATGTGCTGCTAAGACTGGTGGCCTTGCTTGGGGTGAGCCCGTTTCGAACACTCACCTGTAATTACTACGTTCAACTCGTTTTTAAAAAATATTAATTCGACTCTTGCATTTCTGATGAGCTACCGATGAGCTCACCTCTCAGATATGCTGCTGACATAAGATAAAAATCTCACTTCTTAATTTGGGCTTCAATTTTAGTGGCCAACAAATGAGATCTCTTTTTTCTTTATCTTCTCAAAAATACTGGCCCATTCGAAGTGGGTGAGGGCTGGAGTGATGTCGAGGGGGGGGGGTTGATACGTAGGCCTTGAAAAGATCACAGTGCCTCAAACAGTGCTGCGCCCTTCACGCTGTAGTCTGATGGTACACTTTCGAATGCATCCTTGACAAACTATCAAATTTACGACTTTCAGCAGCTCCAGCACTAACACGCGTCGTTTCTGTGCTGAATATGGGCGATCAGCTGGTGAACAGTATCAACTCTAAACCAATCGGGGAGTCACACTTAAGCAAGCCACGTCTATCCATGGGTACGGTATGCTCTCCTTAAGAGTGATTTTCTCGAAATAGTTCATTTGCAAGAGGTTTCCTTTCAGATTCAGTATACAACGGCAATCGAAAGCGTTCCTTAGATGAGTCATCTCAAAGCTCTCTGTCTCGATACTCACCAGACGTCAAACGTCCTCGAGTACAGTATCCTACAAGCGTAATGACGGCACTGGTAAGAGTTTCGGTCATATGTGCCGAAAGTAGCTGTTCGATTTAATGTGCAGTCGAAGGCTGCCTATCCCCCCCCCCGGCTCTGAAAACATCCCATTTCACTCACGTGAGGGTTCTCCGTGACTGTAGTGCAGGCTCGAAACATGCTTCTCTATTGCATAGAAGCTAAGTCGCTAAGGTTGCACGCCAATGGCGCAACTCACCTTTTCATCAACCAGCGGCCAAGCTGAAGCCTGAAACTTGCTGTACAACGCAGGATCGACACTCGAGTCTAGTCATGATTATTGCGAGGTGCAAGTTTTTGAATGTGTCAAGGCCTGCAGCCTTTTCCTGGCGGAGTTCCACTTGTACACGGAGGGAAAAAATAGTCAACGCTCCAGTCCATGAGTTAAGCCGACGAATGAAAAATCCCACCCATGTATAAATTGCGCTGATAAATGGAAGCCGGTCCAGCTAGCTTGGCTCGTAAACATGAATTTGCCTTTGCAAACCAAATCCATTTCATTAGCAACCGTGTGCAGGTTGACGGTTTTTCTAAAATGATGTGCTAGTGAAATTCGCCGCACATTATATTGCAATCTAAACACGCATTCGAGGAAAATTAACAACTTCGAATGGAGCTGGAACGCGTGGCGCATCCCAAAGGAATTTCTTTGCAGCCGTCCTCAGATACCCTGCTGGCGTAACTATTAGTGCAAATATTACATTTTCGATAGTGTTTAATTCGTATGTTGGTAAAAGAGACCACATCGTACCGATTTCCGCAATTCGAAATCCTTTCGTTAGCCTATCTCATGAAGAACCACATAAAACATATCGATCAAGGTTGCGATCAGCAGAGTATGGGTGCAGACTTTAGAAGTGCATGCTAAATGAGTCAACGATTGTAGGTTGACGCTTGTAGTGCGATTTTTTAAAAATGAAGATATCGATGTATCTTGGCAGCTGGCTACCACTTCTAGCAGCGGCCATTCATCTCGAGAAATTTGGCTGACGCACGCAGGATTTGATTCCTTTGACCTTGATCCATGGACCATGCGCGGTAGCGGCCCCTCTTGCCGTCACACCATCTCCGCCCAAATTGAAATTTCAGAAATACATTCTGTCAGTTTGTTTGCCATTTACGAATACGCACTTTACAATGTTATCCAGCCATATATCCCGTTTGTTTGAACCTTCTGACATGCTTTTGTTGGGTGCGACCTCTAGAAAATCTTCTCAATGCCATTTCCACAAGGAGCATTTTCCAAATCTGTCAATGTTCGGACACGAGTTACCTCAGGAAACAGACGTCACCAGTTCCGTCGAAAAAAATCAGTTCAAATCAACGTCAAAAGCTTCCAGCAAATCTTTCCACACCAAAAGGCCTTTTCCTAAACAGTTTACACATTTCGCGAACATCGCTTTCTTTGGCAGGCTTGGGGACTGGGAGATGCCACTGTACCCATGTTGTTATTCTGAGGCCAACACTTTGTGGTGGCTCAGCAGTCGGTGAGTATCCGGCCATCTAACTCGTTTGCTTGAACCTTCTGAATTTTGCAATCTGGAGCTGCTTGAAGCGTCTGCTGAAAGCACTGACATAGTTGGGACACTGGCAAGACTGCGCTGAAGAGCATCGTAGGGATTCGGCGTAAGCCTCTTTTGGCCCTGTGATATGGGACGGTTGAAAGACTGGAGGCATATGCTGCCAGTGGTGTGCATATAATATCTTCGGTACCCGTGCACCAAAATTAAGTAGCCCTCCTGTAAATGTGTACATGCGAAGTGTCTTTATTTCTAGAGCCTAGTAGGTAAAGTGTTTGCATTTACTGGTGTTTGTAATTTGAGCTCACTTGGTTGTGGAACTTTTCCAAATAGATTCACAGTTTCAGGGGGTCCCACTTGGTAGTGGGACCTTTCTAATGTTTGGGTGACGGCAAGAGGTAGTGTTTCATAGTTTCAGGGGCTAGAGGGGAGGATGTTATTGGAAACACAAGGGTACTCTGAATCTTTTCCAACGATACTTGACTGGCACATCTGTAAAACAACTACTGTTCTAGCAGAAATTGGATACGACAGAATTCCTACTCAATTTTTTGTGAAGGTTTAGAGGGAACTTCATCAGGAAGTTCCCCGGTTTTCACTCACCTTATCCTCATCAGTAAATTTTTAAAAAATAAAAGGATAAAGCATTTGCCGTTGATCAATCCCTTTTTGGGATGCGGCACGCATTCTACTTCCATTTGTACATTCGTAGTGGCGTTTGAATGCGATGTGGCCTATACAATGACTTGCGGGGGCCAGCCGATGTACAAGTCAGTGTTTTTATCCTCCCAGACAAGTCTGGTACCAATTAACCGACCCCGGAGGGATGGAAGGCTTGGTTGGCCCGGGCGACTCACGACCCAGGATTTGATCCCCGGACCGCTCGCGTGGTAAGCGTGCCACTTGCCACTGCACCACTTCCGCCCTACATAAAACCCTCGGTTTTTTCTTGACTATGCAGTGTTTCAGGATATGGATCCCCGTGTGCTACAGGCACTTGCGCAAGCACAACTTCGCCTCAGCCATGAAACTGAGAGAACATTCATGCAAAGCATGATGCCATTAACTATTCCTGGAGCACTGCCAACACCAACGTTCGACTAACAAAGCAAACAGTGATATTCTCCGAATCGATGCGCCGCATCCTAATAAGTCAAAAGATTATTTTTCATTACAATGTTATGAAATGATTTAGTAGAGTAGGAAATTCAATGTACCTGTTGTCCGTTTTTCTGTCGAGTGTTTTAATGTAAGTGCCACTTATAGAGACCAATCCTGGTTTGAAAGTAGTAATTGTTTTTCACACGCTTTCTATGGATATTGATCCCCGAAATCGTATGTACTATTACTAAATTATTCTAATGTACGACTAATTGAATCGCCTTGCATTTTCTCGGTACATTTCGTCAGTTTTCTATCTTGACGTAACTTCTGTATAGAAAAAATTAATTGATAACTCACATGCTGTGTACGGGTTACGAATCCTTTCTTCAAATTGAAAGTTTTCACTTATATTCATGTAGGTAAATTTTAATCTATTGTATCAACTACTTAGTATATTGTCATGTTTTTTTTTATTGGAAATAGAACATTGTCTTCGTGTATTTGTGTCAGTATTTACTTGACTAGTGACCTGGTCACGTCATCGTAATCCCTAGACAGATCAAAATCAGATGAATCAAGGTCATTCTGGATTGTTACTAGTCCCATTACCGGTTGCCCGTGTTTCAAGGACAGGACTGGTCACAGGTATGAAGAAAGCGATCACGCCAGAACGTCAGCCAATATGTAGCAGGGTGAAAATCGTGTCGAGGACGTGGTCATTCAGTACGACCCCCCCTCAGATCGGGGTCTTGATACGACCCCTCTAACTTTGATTTGATGTGAATAAGCGAGTTCCATCAATGTACAGCAAAGCATTCAGTTGCAGCGCGGTTTATCCGTGGGTCAGATTTGCCGAAACCCCGCTCGAAACCGTCGAAATCTACACTCTCGATGAAAAGGTTCCATTCCCCTTTCATAACCTTTGGAGCAGTATGTGGTAGGGTTAGATAGAGCTGGATTTGCTACTACCGGGCAATATTGAAATTGATCTAAAAGCTTTACACTCGAAGAGATAGGGTCTCTCAAATTTTGTCGAGCAGCGTCGAGGATGCCGAATTTTTCATGCGAGTTTTTGCCACTTAAAAGGCAATATCTCTCTAATTTTGTAAGATCTTGAAAAAATGAAGACAGTTTTGGAAAGCGGAAGGTTTGCGCTTTCTAACAGTATGTTTAGCTTCCTTCTACATTCTTTAGTTGAGGAGATATTTGCGTCGAGGATCTATCGAGGATGATTCTCGGCCGCTCAAAAAGCCGCTCCCTTCTTCACCATTGCAAGTGTAATTCGTTGGCAACGCTCGAAATGTGTCTAGAATACATTCTTCCAACATAAGCAATAAGAAAAGGGCAATCGTCATAGGCCACGCACTCGAAGTTGCACAATCGATTGGAAGGTGTTATATGATCATGATCAGTTGGAAAGCTGCATTGTAGCGAATTGTAGCAAATTGTATTTCGCGACTCCTGTAACCTAAGTAATAACTTCATATTACCCAGGGTGTCTTTCCTTCACGATTGTCGTTTTGCGAGAGCGTCCCTAACAACAGTGTCATTCTCAACGAGGTATTAAGGGAGAGGGAGCGGGCGATAGATGGAGGAGGTGTCT